GGTACGGCCCTGAGGAGCGGTCTTGAGTTTTGAGCTCTGATATGCACGCTCCCTCTCTGGTCTGCTCCTTTCATGCCCGGTTTCCTTTGAAGCCTTCTGCTTCCCGCCCTCCGGGCAGTCTTCGAGGGGGGGGGGGTAATGTCGGGATCCCGCGGGCGGCTGCGAGGGGAGGCTGCACTCCGCTCGCGGTACTCACCCTCCAGCCGTCCGCGGTCCCCTCCTCCTCGTGGGCTCGGCGAGCGGCATCCTTCCAGCCTCGGATGCCGCCCGCGTTTTCCTCCACGTCCCCCAGCAGCAGCATGCATGAAGCTGCACGCTGGGAGACCGCCCAAATTATTACATGCCGGGGTCAGTCACCTGACCCGGCGTTAAAGGCACAGTGCCTCAATCACAGTGGGAGGTTTAGATATCTCCCACGTGTGATTGTTAATTCTGATTGGAAATTATCCAATCAGAATTAACCTTATGGTTTAAATACTTACCTTTCCTGTTCCTCCCTGCCCTGTTGTGGTCTTTGCTTACTAGTATTGCTACTTAACTTGTGATTCTGGTTACGTACTCTCTGGCTTGTTTATCTGACTCTGTGACTTTCTCCTACCCTTTGACCTCGGCTTGTTTCAGTTATTCTGTCTTCTGGTTCCCCTTACTCGGCTTGTCTCCTGACTATTCTGTGTGTGCTTAACCCGGCCACTCTAAGGTCCGGTACGGCACCTTTTCTGTGTGTGTGTGTGTTTGTGTGTTCCAGCGTGTTGGGTTCCCCAAATTGTGACAGTATCTCCGCTGGTAGACAGGATGAAGCAGGTAAAATGTATGTAAAAATGCAGGTAGTGTAGTTACATTCCTTTTCTCCCAAGAACTAGACGACACATAGCTCTTTAATGATGTGATAATTGTGATAAAATCCAATTAACTAATTAAGAATGATTGATTGATCACTAATGAGCAAATTAATCTATCATAGATAGTTAAGATGGCACTTGGCTTAAACTGTGTCGCACTAAGAAATTCAACTTGTGTCGCACTAAGAAATTCAGCTATGATGACATTGCATAAAATGCTTAAACTGTGTCGCACAGAAATTCAACATTGCCTGGAATATTCCATAGCATGTCTGGCCAATATCCAAAAAGGCCCACGTGCTGAACAGAGGGAATTGGTGCCAACAAATGTATGGAAAGATAAGAGTAGGGACATAGATAGAATAAGATACCGCACATGTCTGGCATGAGCCTTGGGTGGTCACGACTGGCCTGATCAACCATACTGATTACTTAATGCGCATGACAAGATACATGCTGGGCTGCAGTGATAAGAAATCATGGAAACGTTACAAACTTGCTAAAAGGTATAAAAGACGGAGAAACTTGGCACTCACTTGGAGAACTACCCACCTGTAATGCGGATGCGTGTTGCTGGTCTCTGCTGTTCCCAGAGAGGGTCCTTCCATGCCGACTGCCAGAGTTCTCCCCAGTCAAGTGCAGAGGACACAAGCCCCTCTAACGGTGATGTATACTTAAGCTGATATATCCGGATGCTAAGCTGTTTTGAAGTGAATGCATGCAACTGCTTAATGAAAATTAAGCTTACTCTGTATTGGGTCCCCTTGTGGACAATAAATTGTGGTGTAAATTCTTATCTGCAACTTGGTCTCTGTGTGGTTTCTTTTTCCTATAGCCCAAGACACTCATCTCGAACTGGGTTGTGTGCCCGACAATATCGTTATAAACCTTATTAGGTAATTGATTATTGCTTTTTGGATATTGGTGCTTCATGAATTTAATGATTAGGCACAACAAATGATTACAGCTTCCTTTAAGCACAGACCTCCGCAGGGGGTCTGCATTCCACACAATACACTTCCCTTAGTCCCAGGCAGGAGGGGGTTGTGTTACAGATAGCCATCTCCTGCCTTAGGAAATACCAAGCATGGATTTTGGTTAACACACGAGAGAGAGCAACTACATAATCAACCAATACATCTGAGTGGAGTCAGAGTTGTGGGGGGTAATAGCATCTGAGTCTGGGTGCTGATCCGAACAGGATCTCATAGGGAGACAAAGCAACACTAAACAGAGCAATGGGGAGGCTCTCTGGCCATGGTAGACTGGTTTCTTTGGCCATTTTCAGCATTCTAGCTCTTAGGGTACCATTCATGCGCTCTACCTTACCACTACTCTGGGGGTGATAAGGTGTGTGGAATGCAAGGGTAACCCCTAGTGCTGCCCAGATTTCTTTGGTTACCAATGCAGTGAAGGCTGGTCCCTGGTCACTTTCTATGACCTCTGGGACCCCATATCTGCATATTACTTTGGTGAGCAGGCGTTTGGCTGTGGTCTTGGCTGTCATGTTGGTGACTGGGTAGGCCTCTGGCCACCTTGAGAACATGTCTACTATGAGTAGTGTGTATTGAAACCGGCCACTCTTTGGCATTTGAATATGATCAATCTGGATTCTTTGGAAATGACAGAGGGGTTAGGCTAGATGCTTCTGGGTGGCTTTTTCCATCCTGCCTAGGTTACATTTGGCACAGATGGTGCAGGATCTGCAGTAGCTGTTTGTTAAGGAAGTAATCCCTGGTGCTTTGTAGTATTTGTTGATCAGGGAGTTCATGAGGGTCTTGGACAGGTGTGATGTTCCATGTGCCCACTGGACCACTGCTGGGTACATACTCTTGGGTAAGCAGAACCTGAGGTTTTTGGAGTACAACCCTTCTTTAAGGGTTGCTCCTTTCTGTTTCCAGCTTTTTATTTCTACGGGATCAGCGGCTGCTTGTAGTTCTTTCAAGAGCTTTAGGTCTGTTGGCAAGGTCTGCATGGTGAATATGGGGGTTTCTCCGGCGGACACTCTTCTGTCCGCTTCCCGTGGTTCACACGCGGCTTGATCAGCTACATGGTTGCCTTGTGCTTCATCCGAATTCAGTCTCCACTGGGCTTTTACCTCCAGTATGGCCACTTCTTCATGGAGTAGTAGGGCATCCATCAGGTCCTTGATAGCCGTGCGGTGTGTGACCGGTGTGCCAGTTGCTGTGAGGAATCCTCTTGTTTTCCAGAACGGCACCCTCAGAATAAAAGGGTCAAACCGCCGTTTAGTAGATCTTCCCTTCCAAAAACACAGGCACAGCTACTGCACAACACCAATCCGCCGAACAGGAAAAGCATATGAATGCTGTAAACAGCCAAACCGGAAACATATGAATAGGTTTACACTCCTAGCAGTCGAACTGGAACAGCATACAATACATCCCCCCAAGAACGAGACAAAGCTCCGTGTTGAGGGTCAAGCAGTGAACAGCCAGAGCTGTGGGTTTATTGTGCTTATGTACACATTCTTACACATTAGTACCATCCACAGGGTTTTGGAACACAACCAATAAAACACATACAATACACTCAGTCACCCCCACACAAAATGCTTCCCTCTGCCTGTGATTCAATTACCTTACACAATGGGTAATGTAATTATAACAAGCAGATGAATACAATTTTTCCACATTATTCATAACTTTAAAAGTATGCATCACATTCACATAAAACTTATATTTTCAGACAGAGACTGGGCTCCCAATTCCCTGCTGTATCTCCCGCTGGGGAATGGAGACTGGGCTCCCAATTCCCAATAACTTATACTACCGCTGGGGAATGGAGACTGGGCTCCCAATTCCCTGCAATTCACACTGCTGCTGGGGGACAGGAGCAACTATCTCTGCCCCCTGTAACTCAGCCTGCCGCTGGGGAATGGAGCTTGGGCTCCCAATTCCCTGCAATATCGTCTCCACCTGGGGTTCTTCCCAGTAAATATCAACAATGTCTTCCCAGCTGAATGGGTCTGGAACTGGATCTGTCACCTTGCTGTCCTGCTGAATCTTCTCAACGGAGTGGAAGAGATCTCGGTAGTCCTGCTCTAGTTCCCACTCCAAGGTTGCTAGGTGAGCCAGGTCTTGCTCAATCTCACGAGTGTCGCCACAGTCATACCTGCTCTCCCTCACTGAACCGGGCTTGTGTAGGGCTCCCAAACTCAGGCTCTGAAAAAGCCTCCCATAACAAGCCAGGACCATCAAACTCCTCTCCCTCTGGCTTGTCATGCTCGGCTGTCCAGGGCAGGTACTGTGCCCCACACCACCAGAGCTCCTGGTAGGCATCTTCCAGCCAAATCTTCTGCCATACCCGGAGCTCCAATTCCTTCACCCATTCCTCCAGGGGCTGCTCTCCCAGGAAAGGCATCCGCAGGGCCACTTGCTTCTGCAACCGCTGCTCTTCACTGGGGAGACTCTCACCCTGCTGGTATTGTATATTATCCAGGGCCTGGTACCTGATGCCTTTCCTTAATGAATCCCGGCCATCCAGGTACTCCTCCTCGTATAAGACTGCTGGTTCCATCTCGGTGCTGTCACGGTCGCTGTACTGGGACATGCGTTGCCCTCAAATTGTAAATCCACAGAATGGCGTTGCCTGTAGCTGTCCTGTTGTCTGTGGGAATGATCCCACCGCTTGCCACCAATTGTAACGGACCGTTTCAGCACACAAGGGGTTAAAACCGTTTAGGCGATCATCCCCTTCCAGAGATGTAGGCACAGCTACTGCAGAACACCAATCCGCCAAACAGGAAACCATATGAATGCTGTAAACTGCCGAATAGGAAAAACCATACGAATAGGTTTACACTCCTAGCAGTCAAACTGGAACAGCATACAATAAATCCCCCCAAGAACGAGACAAAGCTCCGTGTTGACGGTCAAGCAGTTAACAGCCAGAGCTGTGGGTTTATTGTGCTTATCTACACATTCTTACACATTAGTACCACCCACAGGGTTTTGGAACACAACCAATAAACACATACAATACACTCAGACACTCCCACACAAATTCCTCCCCTCTGCTTTTGATTCAATTACCTTACACAATGGCTAATGTAATTTAGCACAAGCAGAGAAATACAAATTTTCCACATTATTCATAACTTGAAAAGTATGCATCACATTCACATTTTCAGAATCAGCATACTCCAAATACAAACATACGTCAAAATCATACAAATTGGTCCAGTGGTTCAAAAGATAGATCGTAGTCCTTTGTGACCACAGGAAGCATGGCTTTTCTGCCCAAAACCAGTTCCACAGAGTCTTCTATCCTGGAGATAATTAGAAGTAATCCAATTATCTCCAAAGACAGAGGCAAAACTCCATTGAACACATGGCAGCAAAAAGACAGTAAAATACAATAAAATACACAAGGTTACATTTATGACATAAAATACAGACATGCAACATATGCCCAGATAGCTTAGGTCTGAGCGCACATTATTACTGAATGGCGCTCAGAGCACACACATACAGTTCAATTGCCATGGAGCCAAAGTCTTTCCCATAGTCTTTCATTATACGAATGGGCTCCATGGCATAGCTATCTGGGGTATCACTGCTCAAACAGGGCAAGCACCAAATGACCTGGCTTTCTTGTCTTTGCAGGGGAAAAAATCAAGCCTTTTAACATGGGGCCATAATCCAAAGGCAACAGGCGAGCAACCAGGCTTCTCCAATGCAATGTGGCGAGATTGCTCTCGTCACAACATCTGTAATCTTAAGAGATCCCTTTTGAGCCAACCTGATGCAACGACTCTGCAAGCTGCTAATGTGATTAAATTGGAACGTTTTTAGTTATGTTTGGAAAGTCCCTCCATTGTGCGAGATAAAAAGAAGGTCCAAGGAGACAAATCAATTGGTAAATTGACAAACATGTTAACACAACATTTGTGCTTTTATACCCATAACTCCCAAAGTTATTAGTTCACAATTTAACAGATATTCAATGCATAAATGCCAGTTCTATGGACTAAAAAGGTTAATTAGCAAACCAGTTTAACCAATTCAGAGTCAGATTAACGGACAGGGAATAGGCTGAGAGGAGGGACATGTTACTATGGTTATTGTGAAGCTGTTTTGTGGAGGTTTGGACAGTTGATTTTTGGAGTGCTTTAGGGATATCAGTACAAGGGCACAGGCAGTTTTACTATTTGTTTTCTAAGACTGCTTAGATTTAAATTGGATATCCTTTGATATTACTTTACTGCAATCGTGGTAAATATATGATTACTACTGCAAAGTTAATTGTCTAGTTAGTATTAAAATTGTTTAGCTAGAATATGTTTAGTAATATTTGTTATACATAACATAACAGATTAAGAAATACAATATCCAATCTAAAATCCTGTCATATCTGCAAATACCCATAAAAGACTTACTCAGAGTTAGATTTTAGCTCCTAGTATGCACACTAGACATTTGGCCATCATAAGATTTATACCTCCTATATTCAGCTCAAATTTCCAAACTGGCCCAGAATTGGTATAGGTGAAGGAAACAATAATTGGCTACCCCCTCGTGTTTCAGACCAACACCAATCCAAATTGAAAAATTTCATTTTATTTTCTCTTGTGCTTGTTACAGTAATAATTCATGCATCAATTATTTTTATCTTCAAATTAACAAGTCCATAGATATGTCACACCTCCTATGACTTCATATTTCCTTCCAAACAGCTTGCATTAATCATATTTTTTCCCTTTTTATTTAGGGTGTGCTTTCCCCATTCTGAATGTGCACAAAAAGAAGACATGAATATTAACCCCTTAAGGACCAAACTTCTGGAATAAAAGGGAACCATGACATGTCACACATGTCATGTGTTCTTAAGGGGTTAATCTGTGGGTTAATATTAAAGAATGTTAGAATAATTTTATCTACACCCAAAATTAATTAGTGTGATGAAAAATACACTTGTCTAAATGGATAGTGGTGACAGCTTCCTCCAGGAATATCCCAGAATAAATTCCTTTTATATAAATTGCACTAATAGGGTTGCACTCACAGGATGGAGAATGGTATATGGCCTTAGAGTGCATAACCGGATGTAAATGGGGGGCTGAATCACCACCTTTCCTGCAGTATGACGAGCCAGTGTTTTCTCACATGCCCAGCTGTTCCCCATCTATTCTCATCAATATTTTCTTATTTCTGTTCTTCCTTGTTCACCTCGCATTCCACTTGGTGGCTGTTATGCGTTCCACCCTTGGTGTGCAAGGTGTGCTCAGATAGTCTCCTCCCCCCATTAGATCTATATAATAGAAGCCTGACGGGCTCATGAATAGAAGAAGAAATAAATGTATATACTGGAAGACAGATAAAATACAAATCAAGGTATTAGGATCTATAAATTATTGGAAAGTGCTCTTGGATGTTAGTCCCCCTATGGAAAAATGATGTAATCCTCTTTTCAAAATAATAAAAAATTACACTTTATTAAATGTTTTAAAAGCAGATGTTTAGTATACAGTAAGTACAGAATTCCAGTGTCCACAACAGTGAATACAGCGGAAGGATTAGAGGGAATAAGAACAATAAATCCATTAGCTCCATATCGTATAAATAGTTAAAAGAATGCACCATAGAGTGTAAATATCCAGGAGCTAAATCAGTAGAAGTAGATATTTAAATATGTAGAAATAGGTGTAACCTTAAACAAAGAAATTAGTAGTAGAAATTATATATTATACACTGCTCAAAAAAATAAAGGGGACACTAAAATAACACATCCTAGATCTGAATGAATTAAATATTCTTATGAAATACTTTGTTCTTTACATAGTTGAATGTGCTGACAACAAAACCACACAAAAATTTAAAAATGGAAATCAAATTTTTCAACCCATGGAGATGTGGATTTGGAGTCACACTCAAAATTAAAGTGGAAAAACACACTACAGGCTGATACAACTTTGATGTAATGTCCTTAAAACAAGTCAAAATGAGGCTCAGTAATGTGTGTGGCTTCCATTTGCCTGTATGACCTCCCTACAATGCCTGTGCATGCTCCTGATGAGGTTGTGGATCTCCTCCCAGACCTGGACTAAAGCATCTGCCAACTCCTGGACAGTCTGTGGTGCAACGTGACGGTGGATGGCGAGAGACATGATGTCCCAGATGTGCTCAATTGGATTCAGGTCTGGGGAATGGGTGGGCCAGTCCATAGCATCAATGCCTTTGTCTTGCAGGAACTGCTGACACACTCCAGCCACGTGAGGTCTAGCATTGGCTTGCATTAAGAGGAACCTAGGGGCATACTGCACAGCATATGGTCTCACAAGGGGTCTGAGGATCCCATCTTGGCACCTAATGGCAGTCAGGCTACCTCTGGTGAGCACATGCAGGGCTGTGCGGCCCCCTAAAGAAATGCCACCCCACACCATTACTGACTGTAACGGACCGTTTTGTAAAAAAGGGGAAAAAAACGCTTAGGCGATCGGCCCCCTTTCCAGAGATACAGGCACAGCTACTGCAGAACACCAAACTCCCAAACTGGATACAAAATAGCACTCCAACTCCCGAACTGGAACTTCCCAAATAGCTGCTAGCAGACGAACAGGAAAAGCAGACAATCAGCTTACACTCCTGGCAATCAGTCTCTAACAGCATACAGTGAATCCCCCCAAGAACGAGACAAGGCTCCGTGTTGAGGGTCAAGCAGTGGTCTGAGGTGCTGGCACACCCAGCCTGGTTTTTATTACAGTCTTGCAAATACAGGACCACCCACAGGGAGGTATAAAATATCCAGTAACATATTAGTTACAACCCACAGATTCCCTCCCCCTTATCCTGAGAGGTAACCCAATACACATACCTTTTACCACAATGCATCCTGGCTTCCTCTCCTCTGCCCTGGAGATAAGTGAGAAGTAATTCAATTATCTCCCAGGACAGGGACAAGACTCCATTCTGCACATGGTGACACAAAGACAGTAAAACACTTTAAAATACATAAAGTCACCTTTTACACATAACACACAGACATTTAACATATCCCCAGATAGCTCAGGTCTGAGCGCACATTATTAAGTGAATGGCGCTCAGACCACACGAATACAGTTTAATCGCCATGGAGCCAAAGTCTTTACAGTCAGTTTCATACGAATGGGCTCCATGGGATTCCTATCTGGGGTATAACACATTCAAACAAATCTACCGAACCCCAGGCAGAAAAGCACGAATGAAGCTTTTCTGCAGGTAAAAAAGATGTCTTTTAACAGGGGGCCATAGTCCAAAGGCAGCAGACGAGCAACCAGGCTTCTCCAATGCAATGTGGCGAGATTGGTCTCGTCACACTGACCCACTGCCAAACCGGTCATGCTGGAGAATGTTGTAAGCAGCAGAATGTTCTCCATGGCGTCTCCAGACTCGGTCACGTCTGCTCAGTGTGAACACGAGAACGGTTACTCTCTTGTGTGAGTTCTGTTGTGGCTTACAAGATGTGATTTACGGATAAAACATTTTCCACATTCCGTACATGAGAAGGGTTTCTCTCCGGTGTGAGTTCTGTTGTGGCTTACAAGATGTGATTTACGGATAAAACATTTTCCACATTCCGTACATGAGAAGGGTTTCTCTCCGGTGTGAGTTCTGTTGTGGTTTACAAGATGTGATTTACGGATGAAACATTTCCCACATTCAGAACATGAGAAAGGTTTCTCTCCTGTGTGAATTTTCTGGTGTTCAACAAGACTTGCTTTACGGATAAAACATTCCCCACATTCAGAACATGAGAAAGGTTTCTCTCCTGTGTGAATGCTCTGGTGTTCAACAAGACTTGCTTTACGGATAAAACATTCCCCACATTCAGAACATGAGAAAGGTTTCTCTCCTGTGTGAGTTCTGTTGTGGCTTACAAGTTGTGATTTACGGATAAAACATTTTGCACATTCCGTACATGAGAACGGTTTCTCTCCTGTGTGAGTTCTCTGATGGTTGTTAAACTCTACTTTATGAACAAAACATTTCCCACATTCTGAACATGAGAATGGTTTCTCTCCTGTGTGAGTTCTCTGATGGACAACAAGAGCGGCGCTATAGCTAAAACATTTTTCACATTCAGAACATGAGAAAGATTTCTCTCCTGTGCGAGTTCTCTTGTGTCTAACAAGATGTGATTAACGGTTAAAACATTTTCCACATTCCGAACATGAAAACGGTTTCTCTCCTGTGTGAGTTCGCTTGTGTGCAACAAGACTTGAGTGATTGTTAAAACATTTCTCACATTCAGAACAGGGGAAAAGCTTTGATTTTCTGTTTACTATTTCATTTGTAGACATATACGATTGTAAAAGATTTCTTGAGTTTTTAGAGTTGGAATTTTTGGTCCTTGTATTGAAAGATTTCTGCATAGTCTTGCTTACTATATTTCTGTTCTTCTCAGGTCCTTCTTGATAACTTTTACTGCTGGAAAAATCTGAAAGAAATGCACTGGGAATTAAATAACTTATAGCAACAGATTTTCTTTAGTTTATCTAAGTATGGTAAACTCAATCAGAACTATGACTATGAAGTATCTTTTTGATTGTGTCAGATACTTATACTGACAGATAAGATAGAAATTAAAAATGTATAATGTAAGTCACCACTTAGCAGATGTGACTCCAGTTTGTAACAAAATGCAACGCTCAATCATTTTTGTTTCTCTCGATCTCTCAAACTCTATTCAGTGACTAAACAAATGTGGGTTAAGTAAACAATGCAGAGTTCCTTTTTTTTTTTTTTTTAAAACAAGAATTTATGCCTGCAACAAGGGGGATAAAAAGAGGCCAGCCAATACACATATCTATATAGATTAACTAATAATGTTATAATAAATTATATATATATATATATATATATATATATATATATATATATATATATATATATATTATAATACCTATGTGTGGCGAAAGGTACCTCACCACTGGGTTTTGGAGAGGCCTGCTTGCCAGATTCCTGCCCTGTGATTATGGCCCCTGTGACTTATTGGGTTTTGAGGCACTTGTGAAAGACAGACCACCCTGCAGAAGCTGTGGTTAACCGCAGCTTAATTGGCAAACGGCTGGGTGGTTGGCATTCGTATGAACGAACACGTGGCAGTGACCATTTTGTTTAGTCGAAAGCGCTCAGCGGTATTTTGCCGTTGAGTGCCTGGAACTGAAATTGGACACTCAAAAGCACGAACACCGCTGGGACTTCTACCTTACGTGCGTTCGGCTAAATCCATACGAACAGAGCGCTTTTTAGTGAAAGTAAACTCCCGAACAAGACGCATCTAATGACAGTATTCACGAACGGATTCGTTTGCACAATTTGTACCTAATATTAAGGAGAAGATAGACTGGCTGTACAGCCTAAATCTGTGGAACTATTTGGGGCATGAAAACCATGCTTGCGGTTGGTCAAATGTGACTTTCATAGAATTCGGGAACCCCTGCTCTGATCTGGGTGATTTTTGGATATGTTGTTCACCCAGATCAGAGCTATCCAGGGATGTATATGGGGAAATGTTTGTGTTTTGGGGTGTTTCTGGACTTTGGGGTAAAATGTACATTTTCTGCCTGTGGATAATTAGGTTATTCCATTAGCTAGCTTAATTATATCACAGGCAGAATGGAGGGATTGCTGACTGCATGTGGGAGTGTTATTGTGTTAATTACTGTTCCTATTGGTTTGTGTTCCTTTTGTTCCAATTTACCATCGGGTCCAGGGAGTGTGTGTAGCAGTTTCCACCGCTGGAGGGTGTCCTTTTCCCGATCAGTGAGGAGGATTCTCAGCATCCAGTAGTGATCCAAGTGAATAAGCTCTTATAAGAGCTAGCGTGATAGCTGTATGGCTGTTACCCCCAATAAGAGAAAACTCTAGATTGAGGGTGAAGAAGTACTGAAGGTTTAATGGCAAATACTCTTTTATGCAGTCTTCCCATGCAAGGGAGACACCCACAGACAATTATACATTTGCCAATCAAACAACGGTTACATCCCACATATTCCCTCCCCTCTGCTTGGGAGATAATGGAGTTACTTACTGTCTCTACTCAATTATCTCCAAGCTGAAAAAAATCATACTTTTTAGACATTTATATAACTTCCTGATTTTACATTGTATACTGTTACAGACTGTCATTTATAACTGTTATTTTATTTGACAAATTACCCTACTTCCCTGTGTTATGGAGAAGCCTAATTGCCAGCCTTCTGCCCCATGACTATGGACCTAGTGTGTATGGCGATTTGACTGTGTTTGTGGGATCTAAACGCTATTTGGATATATTGAGTGCTCAGATCCAAGCCATCTGGAGATAGGTTGAATATGGGGGTTCTGTTGAGTATGATAGGAGTTATGTATTTTTGCTGTTGTTGTAAATGGAAATATTTTCTGTACCTGGAGATAGTTGGCTTGCCACACCCAGTTAACCCAATTATATCCAGGATAGAGGACTCTATGGAACTGGTTTGGGCTGGAAAGCTATGCTTCAGTTGGTCACAAAGGATTTCTACCTAACTTTTAAACCACTGGAGGGTGGTTTAAATTGTTCGATTTTTGGATATGTTTGTATTTTAAGTGTTCTGAGTTCGAATATGTATTTTTTATGAAGACTGGATGTATATTTTTGAAGTTACAGCATGTGTGTAAAAACTGTATTTTTCCTGCCTGTGATAATTATGTTAACCATTGTGTACCATAATTATATCACAGGCAGAGGGGAGGATTTTGTTTGTAATTGCTGAGAGTTTTTTCTGTAATGTACGTGTGTTATTGGCTGTTCTGTAAAACCCTTTGGGTGGTTCTATGTAAGGAAAACCTGCATAAAAGAAGGCCCTTTGGTGCCAATTAAACAGAATGACTTGTCCCTGTAACTTGCAGCCTCGACTCATGTTTGTAGGGGACAGCCATAATCACTACAGGGATTGACATGCTCTGCATGCTGCCTTGGCTAATCACTACTGAGCTCTTGTAAGAGCTCTAGGTTCCTGATCCTGCTTCGCTCTGCAGAAAGAAGAGAGATCACCCACTGGACCCACCCACGTAGATCCAGGGTGGAAAGACAGAGATACCAGCCCAGCAGCGGTGGTTCATGGAGTCTGCAGTACCTATGGTGTCTACACAGTGTTTATGGTGCTGATGGTCCTTTGGTGAGCGGAAGGAGCATCCTTTCTACGATCCAACTTCCAGCCAGCCTGGAGGCAACTGTAACATATACGAATAAAACTATATCAGCATAACTTGGGGTGCAACATATGTAAAAATCACATGAATCCGTCCAGGGATTCAGGGGATAGGTGAAAGTCTCTTTGGACCGATGCACGCCTGTTTATATGCCCAAAACAGTTCCACAGATTCAGGCTGTGCGGTCGGTCTATCTTTCCATTCACATAAAGTTCAAACTGCACGAATGGATTAGTTTGTGCTTACTCTCTTTAGATTCGGCTTGTTCGTGAGTTTATTCCATAGAAATAGTGCTCTGTTAGCATGGGTTTAGCCGAACGCATGGAAGGTAGAAGTTTCAGCGGTGTTCGTGGAAAAGGAAGCCGAAAATAGTTCCACGCGGTCGACGACCAAACACTGCTGAGTGCTTTCGACTAAACACCTTTTCGAGGTGTTTCTTGCATTAGGGAGATAAATGAGTGACACACTTCTGTCCTGGGTGGTCGGGCGTTCGGTAAAAAATTTGTGATTTGAACAGCCTTTTACTATAGGATCCATTACAGTCAATTTAGACAAAAGTTTTAAACGAATGGCTTGTTCACAAAATTACAGATCCAACGAAAAACAGGGGGATCTGTTACAGTGTGCCTCTGGCCTGAAAATCTTTATAAAAGAAATGCCTGTGTGCTCATTAAACCTGTTCCTGCTTGTACTCCAAAACTGTGTGTCGTCCTGTTATTGGAGGAAAGAAGATTTGTTCCTGTGTCTGCTGTTCCAGCTTACAGGAGATTCAACAAGGAAAGTCCTTGTAAGGACTAAAGCCAATTCCCTATTCGGCTAAAGGAAGGAGCGGTTCCAGGGCCCTAGTCCAGCAAACGGCGACTGTGGGCAGAAGTGCGGTGGTTTGTCCTCTGCTCCATCTAGGAAGCTGATGGACCGTCTGGCACACCGACCAGGTGGCTCCGCCAATCGCTGCTCCCTACGGCTCACCGAGTACTCCACCAGACTCCATCAGCACCATAGAATTGTAGCCGCCGCTGCTTGGCTGGAGTCTTGCCGTCCTCTACCCACCCTGGACCTTAGACAAGGATACAGCTTCCTGTGGGTAGACCTCTCCTACTCCAGAGAGTGTAGCAGGCTGCTCTTAAAAAAAGCAAGTGATTTTAACCCAGGGGAGTATCACGATTAAGCAAACCCCAGGGTAGATACAGCTGTCCGCTCCATACTTGAGACGAGGCTCTATGTTGAGAGTAAAGAGTAACTGATATTAATGGGACCACACTTGGTCTTTTATGTCAGTCCCAATGCAATGAGTACTCCCACCTGGACCTGATGGAAGACTATTACAAAGTCACAGACCAGTGACAGAGTTATAATACATGATACTCCCATACATATTATACAATCCCTCCCCTCTGCCTGGGAGATAATTGGATCAGGAACTGTACTAATCTAATCCAATTATCTCCAAGTACAGAAAAAAAACACACTTTTTCCCAAACACCCAAAAAGTACCCCAAAAATAATAAACCCCCCACAAAAATTATATCCCCTCATAGCCCTGATCTGGGTGACCAACATATCCACAAATCATCTAGATCAGTTCTGGGGTTCAGGAATTTCCTGAAAATCATTTATATGACCGACCGCACTCATGGTCCCATAGCAGAAAATAGATCCAGGGCATTCGTGACTTATTCCCGCTGAAGTCTATTCGCGGTTTTGGTCGATGCGAACGGCCGCCAGGGATATAGCGTTTAGTTCTATGCGCAAGAATGGGAAGTGCCAAACCAGGTGGAATACAATATTGGTCTTTATAGTCGCTGACCTGGCCCATAGTCTGTGGGCAGGAGGCCAGTCTCCACACTCCACCAAGAGTCTGTGGCATATGTCACATATCTTGCCTCCCAAGGGGAGACTAACCATGTACCTGACCTGCTGCCGGTCGGTACCCGAGTTAGTCGGGCAACCAACCCAAAAACAATTAGTTTGCTGGGTAGCCTCCAGTGCCAAGCTCTGTCCTGTCTGCCCCAGGTTGCTGTGTGGGGGTAGGCTGCCCCTGGTCTCTTTTGCTCCAAGTCTCCGTGCAGTCTGGGCTTAGTTGGCAGAGGCCAGTGGCGGTCTGTTCCATAGCCAGCACTTCTGCTGTGGTGGCCTGCGGGTATTCAGGCCGTGGACAATGGGAAAGGGGAGGGCAGAGGACAGCCGGATGCCAGCGCTTCTGCTGTGGGGACCTGCAGACAGTACAACGCTGCAACACTGGGACTGGTAGGGCAGAGGCTAGCTGGACTCTCCCTTGATGCCAGCTCTTCCACTGTGAAGGGTTTATTATACACCTCCGTCCCATCCACTACCTCCAGAGCTGGGATGGGCATCTGCCGCTGGGGAGGAGAGGCTTATCCTGTACGGTATGCTGCCGCTGAGGAGTAGGACCGACTGTCCTCCCTCTTGGTACTTCCAGCTGGGGGTGGGAAGGGGGACTGGTTCCACCCCTCCAGTAATGTCAGCTGTAGTTGGGGATCTGGGCCAGCTGCCCAGCATCCCTGTGGGGCTGGTGGAGAGACTCAGTGCCATCTCCACCTGCCATTTAGGGTTCCTCACAGGACCAGTCTGTAAGGTCCCGCGCTAATTGGGAAGAGGGACCAGCGCTCTCCTCTTCTGGTCTCTCCAGCGAAAGACCGACTATCTCCCCTCTCTGCATTATACACTGCTGCTGGGGAGTAGGACCGACTGTCCATACTCCCGGTACTTTTAGGTGCAGTTGGGGACCTGGGCTGGCAGCCTAGCATCCCTTTAGGGCTGGTGGAGAGACCTCGGTCCCATCTCCACTTGCCGACTGGGGGTCCTCCCAGGACCAGTCTATTAGGTTATCTTGCAATTGGGAAGAGGGACCAGCTGTCTCCTATTCCAGTATCTCCGGCTGCTGCAGGGGAGAGAGACCGGTTGTCTCCTCTTCCATTATGGTACACTGCTGCTGGGGAGTAGGACCGACTGCCCCTACTCCTGGTAACTCCGACTGTAGTTGGAGATCTGAGCCGGCTGCCCAGCATCCCTGCAGGGCCAGGGCAGAGACGGTCCCACAGGGGTTAATCAGGGCCCTAACTCTGGTACCTTGGGCTGCCGCTGGAGATTGAGGCTATCATCCTCTGATGTAAAGTCAATTAAATCTGTGGGCACATCCTCCTAGACCAGTTGCATCATCTCTGTCGAAGGGCAGCTATAAACTGCTTTTCGCTGGAGACCTCCTCCCGTCGTTTTAGCCATTAGGAAATCATGGTCTCTCTTGGCTTGTATATCGATGGTCACCTGGAAGGTCTCCATCAAAACATTAGAGCCATACTAGGCCAGTTGCTGCCGCACCTCAAACAAAAACTCTGAGTAAGAGTCACAGGATGCCATGCTTGCCTGCTCCAAGTCCGTGGGCACAACTGCTTATGGATTGCAACTCGAAGAAACCCAATCTCTGCGACACACTCCTCTGGAACTCCTTTCCCAACATGCTAGCGTTGCCCTCAATTATAACTCCATAACGATTCTGGTATCTCCAGTATGCTTCTATACTCACTAGGAAGCAATCCCACCACTGCACCAAATGTGACGGACCCCCAGGAATCCCGACCGGATGCCTCCGCCAATCGCTGCTCCCTAGTGCTCACCGAGTACTCCAAACACTCCACCAGACAACATCAGAAACGTAGACCCCTAACCGCCGCAGCTTGGCTGGAGTCTCGCCGTCCTCTAACCTGTACCTAAGGCAAGGCTCCAGCTTCCTGTGGGTAGACCTCTCCTACTCCAGAGAGTGTAGCAGGCTGCTCTTAAAAGATTATAACCTAGGGGAGATAATTGATCAGGAACTGTACTAATCTAATCAAATTATCTCTAAGTACAGAAAAAACACATTTTTTCCCAAACACCCAAAAAGTACCCCAAAAATAATAAACCCCCCACAAACATTATATCCCCTCATAGCCCTGATCTGGGTGACCAACATTTCCACAAATCATCTAGATCAGTTCAGGGGTTCAGGAAAATCCTGAAAATCATTTATTTGATGTACCGCACGCATGGTCCCATAGTCGAAAATAGCTCCAAGGCATTCGCGGCTAAGTCACCCTTAAGTCTATTTGCCGCCAGGGAGATAGCATTTGGTTCTATGCGCATGAATGGGAGGTGCCAAACCAGGGGGAATAAAATATAGGTCATTATAGTTGCTGACCTGGCCCATAGTCAGTGGGCAGGAGGCCAGCTTCCATACTCCTCCAAGAGTCCGTGGCAAATGTCTGTGGACAGAGGCATTTGTCACACTATGTTAATAATATTGAATATTCATAGAAAGAGTCCCAATGAATGTTATTATTAAACTAATAGCTGAATGTGTGTAAAAGATATGTATACATCACATGCTGTCATGTTACTAATAATGGTCACGGCAACTATAGGATCCAACACGCGGAACTGTATAACATCTACATAGAACAGAAAACAGACAGATTGTAAACCGGTCCCTAGAATAATAGAGAATAGTCAAGGGAAAGCTGAGGTCAACGTAGCCAGAAATACACAAGATCGATAAGTACAAGCCAATCAGGGAAACCGGAAAATAGAATAGTCAGTGACTAAATCCACTTTGCCACTGGTTTTTGGAGGGGCCTGTTTGCCAGCCTCCTACCCTGGGAGTATGGGCCCTGTGATAAACCATGTTAAAAAATACGGTTTCTGCCCCTTGGACTTTTAACTGGAACGGATTCAAACATGTAGTGGCGGCCATCTTAAATTGTCCAGTGGTGTTTTGTCGTCGAGTGTATGGAACTGTTTTGGGCATGGGACCATGTGCAAGGTGGTGCAAAAATAAGACTTCCAGGAAATTCTTGAACCTCTGAACCCATCTGGGTGATTTTTGGATATGTTGTTCACCCAGATCGAGGCTATCAGAGGATGTGATGTGGGGATATGTTGTATTTTGGGGTTTGTAAAAATTTATGTTTTTTTCTGTTTAGAGTTAATTGAGTTAGCCCATTGTCTTTGTTAAGTGTATCACAGGCAGAGGGGAGGAATTGTTTGCTGTAAGTGGGGGTGTCAGACATTCTTGTATTGTTCTGATTCGTTTGTGTCTTTTGTGTGCCTGTGTTCCATCAGGTCCAGGGGGAGGTGCCTCTGGCCTGAGGAATTGTATATAAGCAAACCTGTACCAAAAAAGCTTCAGACATGTTCTACCCTTCATGAAGTCTTGGCTCATGTTTGGAGGATTCGACGGTTCACAGGGTCTGCGGTGGTTATGGTATCCAGTGGAGTGCTTGGAGCCCTCGGGAAGCACTAGGAGCAACCGTCAAACTGAGGTACCCATTTGGGGTGCCAGGCAATCAGTTACAGTCAGGAATAGCCTAGGTGAAATACCAGGAATATCAATATTATAACAGTAAACGCACTCTCGGATAACCAGGAACAGAAACCACGACAGGGCAATAAACTAAGGTAACCTGGGGTTTAACTATCCCTCCTTAGACTGTGACTGGTCAGAGCTTTGATGTTGTGACTTCACATGAACATTTGCAAGACCTTTGACTCTGTCGGAGGTGGGGCTACAGATGGACGCGACCTCGCGGCAGCTGGCACCATTTTGAACTTTGTGCGTACTGGGACAAGACACCCCAGCAGGTCAGCTCCTGGCTTGCTGCTCTACAAGTAAGCCCTGATGCCTACCTGTGTGGTCGCACCAATCGGGTGCGACCACGTGTGGATGCAAGCCGGGGGCCGTAACAATAATACCCATAAATTTGACACAATGAGACCGTAACTAAAAAACAGACACAGGATTACCAGAAGAGATAATACTAAAGTAATTAATTTTACTTTTTAAATTAAATGGATTACTACAAGATTCCATTGTAATAGAAAGTTGAAACAGAGACTAAATGCGTCAAAATCATACTTTATGGCCCAAGAAAATCTCTTTGAAGACTGACATATATTTGATGAACGGTATCAATACGAAGTGGTAGTTGGAAATTCTGGATGAGAGTATCTTGTGGTGTTACAATGCCACCTATAGATCAAAGTCTATGTGGCAATCAAAAGAGAAGGTACACGCACCTGGCTCCATTGGTGACTTAAAATTAGTAATGTAAAGAAAGTTAAGGGAAGCTCTTCCTTAAAAATTGAAGAGAGAGCCAAAGACAAGAGGTCTTTGATCATTAACCAAAAGCTGGACACATCTAACTCTCTCTAATTCTCTCTCTCATTACTTACATCCATGTAGTGTGTAGGCAATGCAGTGTGTACGGAACATGGTGTAGTGCAGGATATGGATGTAAGGAACACACTATAGTGTGGGATAGGGATGTAGTGTGTATGTTTGTAGGTTATGTAGAGTGTGTAGGACACATAGTGTGGGGAGGGATATGAATGTGATGTTGGTAGGGCACATAGTGTGGGGTGGGATAGGGATGTAGTGTGGGTAGGGCACATAGTGTGAGGTAGGAGGGAGGGGGTGACAGATGGCAGGGTGACCGAGTGAGGGACGGGGCGGATGACAAAGTGCGGGAGGGAGGGGGTGACTGGTGGCAGAGTGAAGGAGGAAGGGTGAGGGAGGGACGGGGTGACAGAGGGAAGGATGGAAGGGGTGACTGGTGGTAGAGCGAGGGAGGAGGTGACTGGTGGCAGAATGTGGGAGGGGGTGACTAATGGCAGAGTGAGGGAGGGAAGGGGGTGACTAATGGCAGAGTGAGGGAGGGAAGGGGGTGACTAATGGCAGAGTGAGGATGACTGTTGGCAGAATGAGGGAGGGGGTGACTGGTGGCAGAATGAGGGAGGGGGTGATTGGCGGCAGAGTGAGTGAGTATATTATAATAATATATTTTAACTTATTTGATTACATTCTTTTTTTTACAAACTTTTATGCATGTCTGTAGTTATGTGATAGATGTTGTAATTGATAATTGAATCAATAAAGTTTTTGTCGCTGTAAATCCCCAGGGACTGGAGAAGCAAGTATGTTCCATAAATCATGCAACAAATGGGTTATTGGAATGTGCAGTGAAGCAGTGTGCATCTACTGCAAGGTTTACATTGTATGGCAAACCCACCTGCACGAAGATTCATTCATGAATAATAAAATGAATGTGCAAGCTAACAGCCACCAACAGGCATGTTATATTCAATACAAGCACAGTTTGCATTTTTATGAAGGAAGTTAATTGAAGCTGTACATATGCAGAACTACTTAGTGAGTTAAAAGGGAGAGCACAGGAATCACTTAGCAGCTGTACTGGGTGTGCGCGCTGTACAAGAAATCTTGCTGTGTTTCTCAGGGAAGGAGGTCGTTCGGATTCCTCTATGAAATCAATGTCTTGGGGGATGGTAAACAGACACACCAATATTTGCACATTACAGCAAGCGCAATCAATTTTATAAATGGGGCCATGGATCTGCTTGCACTACAAGAGACTCAGTTTGTCTCTAGCTTAGGGAGAAGACTCAACTGGTCTCTCTGTAGTTGGGCTTAGGCATAATGATCATCTAAACACTGCAAACTCATCACGCTGTGCTGTACGGAGAGTTTGTCAATAATTTAGCTCCTCCACTTTGAGGTCAAATGGGTAAAAAATACTTAACAAAACGCATAAGCCAAAAACTTTGTACCCCTCATTATTGTAGTAAAAGTGTGAAGGAATAATGGTTTAAACATACTTTGTCCTCAGTTACTTGCTGCTCCCTCGGTGAGTCCTCTTTATGCCAACAAATAATTCACAGAGCAAAAACATATGAATCGACACCTAGATGAGGAATATAACACAAGGATTAGTTAGAGTAAAAACAGAAGAAGGAAGGTATGTAATAGAAAATAAAGATCTAGCTGACTGAATCAATTAATATTTTTTTTTCAGTATTTACAGATGAAAATTAAGGAAAGGGACCTCAGTTAGAAAAAAGGACAAATGAAGCACTTGCTACAAGTGAGTTTACAGAGGAAGAGGTTCTATTTCAATTGTTTGAAGTAAAAACAAATAAGTCGATGGGGCCTGATAGAATACTCACAAAGTTAATAAAAGAGCCTAGTGGTGTACTCACAAAACCATTAACAGATTTATTTAACCAATCATTGTTAACAGGAGTAGTCCCAGAAGATTGGAAGTTAGCGAATGTTGTGCCCATTTACAAGAAAGGTAATAGGGAGGAGTCGGGCAACTATAGGCCAGTAAGCCTTACTTCAGTAGTGGGGAAAGTGATGGAAACCATGTTAAAGGATAGGATTGTTGAACATCTAAAAACACATGGATTTCAAGATCAGAGACAACATGGGTTTACTTCAGGGAGATCATGCCAAACTAATCTTATTGATTTTTTTGATTGGGTAACTAAAATTATAGATCAGGGTGGTGCAGTAGACATTGCTTACCTAGATTTCAGTAAGGCTTTTGACACTGTTGCACATAGAAGTCTTATCAATAAACTGCAATCTTAAAGTTTGGATTCCAATGTCGTTGAATGGGTTAGGCAGTGGCTGAATGATAGGCAACAGAGGGTTGTAGTCAATGGAGTATATTCATAAAGCAAGGTCTTGTTACCAGTGGGGTACCTCAGGGATTAGAATACTGTTCTGAGAAGTGTACTCATATTCTCTGAGCTCTGGTATGTCAGCATATTACTGCATATTTATTATATCAAACATTCTATCAAAAAGCTAATATCCCTGCTTAAATAAAAAAAAAAACGAGACAAAGCCTCAAAACCCCTCCAAGACAAACACCCACCACCTGGAATTGTGACCTCGATCCATTAAGTAGCATTCAACAAAAATATCTAAATTTTTGTATTACTATGTCCTTTCCTCTATGTTTTTTTAAAGGAATTTATCTATCCAGGGCTGCCATATCTTATAGAATGCCTCCATCATTAGCCTGAGCAATAAAACAAAAAGTCTTCCATCAGAGCTAACTGGTTGATCTGAATTTTAACTTAGAGGACAAAGAGTCAAACTTTTAGTAATTTGAGGGACATTTTGCCATCTAAACAATTTTAAATTGGAGTTCCTGTATTTTAACACAGTGTGTGGATCTTTTAGTAAAGCTCCAATTTTATACCATAATTTCCAATCCTGTCCTATCCCTAGCTCTAATGACCATCTGATCCAAGCTCGGGGAAACCTAACTGGAACCAAACTTTCAACAATTTGATATCGTCTTTTCAGAAGTCCCAGCTGGGAATCATTGCTGAATATTTTCTCAATTTGCAGAACGTATTCCTCGTTACCATTTTTACTTGTACATCTTACCACAGTGTGGAATTCTATATAGATTTAAATATTTGTTTATAGGGACATGAAATTCTTGATTGAGTTGATCGATCTTTTTAAATCTATTCCCCAGAAATAAATCTCTAGCCTTAATACTTTTATTTGGCCTGGATGTTATATCCAGGTCTTTAATTATATCCTCAAATATATAAACAGGGACCGCTTTAAAGGACCACTATAGCCATCCAGACCACTTCAGCTCAATGAAGTGGATCTGTGTGCCAGGTCCATCTAGTGTTAAACTGCTATGTTTACATTAGGGTTAATCCAGCCTCTAGTGGCTGTCTCACTGACAGCCGCTAGAGGCGCATTCAGCGCTGACGTTGGCAAGAGGATTAGAGTTCCCCAGCGCCGAGGGAGCCCAGCACTGGAGAAAAGTAAGTGTTTTTAATCTACATCTGGCCTTTATATTTTATTGATCACCACATATTGAGTGTCTATTATTTTATGGGTGCATAAAGGTTTATTATGGGGAGAGGTGTTGTGTAGACTGAAATACTAAATTTGTTTGTTTTTTTATATCAGTGGTAGTCAACCTTTTTCTACCTACCGCCCACTAATGCATCTTTCTTTATGAAAACATTTCCTAACCACCCACCAGTTTTCATGGTGCGGAATATATTTTAGAAAGGAGTGTGTTTTTAAAAATAAAAGAAATGTACGTACATTTATCTTTTTATTTCTACTTTATCCATGTTTACAAAGTTTTTAACTTTATAAAGTTTAATGAGAAATCAAAGTAAATTGAAATTACCTTTACTAGTGATTAATGAGGTCCTTGAGGTTGATGCTGCGAGACTAAATATTATCTGGTTAGATTTTCGTAAAGTGGATGGGGGGTGTTCTGTAATCTGGGTAGGGGGACTGTGAGTTGGTATGGGGACCGTATAGTGGGTAGGGGGGCTGTAAGGTGGGTGCGGAGACTGTGAGGTGGGTGCAGGGACTGTATAGTAGGTAGGGGGACTGTGAGGTGAATAAGGGGGCTGTATAGTGGGTAGTGGAGCAGTATAGTGGGTAATGGTGGGAAGGGGGTTGTAAAAAGGTAAATACCTTTTAATTCCTCTTGGTCTGGTGGCAGCTCTCCAGAAACGTGTGGGCGGGGCTTGTTTACGGGAGGTGGAGCTTCTGTTAGGAGGCGGGGCATGCGGCCAAAATGATTTTAGAGTGTGCAGGGAGACTGAGAGGTCTCCCTGTGGCTGCTGGCAGCCACATCAGCTTCCAGTTCCTCCCTCCCCTCAGACTGACAGGCTGGCAAAGTCAGAGGGGAGGATTAATCATAATAATCATTAGGACTGTCAGCCCAGCCCCAGCTTGCTGTGTCCGGCCCAGCCACCCACTCTCTCAAAGAGGATTTAGCCGCCGAAATCCCTACCGCCCACTTGGAGTCCTGAAACGCCCACTAGTGGGCAGTAGGGACCAGGTAGACGACCCATGGTTTATATATTACTCCCTTTTCTTTTCTCTTCTTTTCTTACCTTTTCCTCCCCTCTATGTTTTCCCTTATGAGATACTGTGTATGATAGGTTATTTATGTACGATCTAGCTGCTAATGCTTGAGCGGTACCGATGTCGATATTCCCCCCACCAAATAGCCAAAAGAACACATTGAGCTCTGTTTCTTTCCTGTAAGTTAAGTTGTTTATCCCTGACTAAATATGGCGATATAGGGATGGGACTGGGAGGAAGTGACGTGTGCTTTAGATGACGGTTTGCAATAGGAGGACGAGATATGGCAGTTTCAAAGGGGGTTGCAGGATGACGTCAATCTTGGGAGAAATAAAGCCCAAACCTACATCAGCTGGGAGAGGTATATACCTCAAAAATCCATGAACCTAACTGGATGAAAATCGGACTAATTGAAAAATGGGGGAGGAGGAAGCCCTATTTGAAGGGAAACTGCATGCAAGCAGAATATGCCGATTGATAAAGCCCTAGGAGAGGGTGAAACGCGTATTGGAGGAGCAGCAAGGACATATGGAATATATCTGTATTACTCTTTACCGCCCAATTACATAAAATGTGGGTACTCAAATTACCTATGTAATAGTCATGCTGTTCTAAAATGTTACTAACTGCTAGGCCTCATTAGAGGTTACTTACATGTACAAAACCTCTGTACATTTTTGTTGTTGAATTTGCCGGTAGTACCTATGTTCATAGTATGGCTCACATT